TGGGATTGACCGTCACATTATAACGCCCCCCACGGCTGAAAGGGCGAGTATGTTTGGTGTGAGGGGGGATTTGAACCCGCAACCCTCAAATTGCGAGTCGAGCGCCTTATCCACCTGGCCATGCCGGGCTCTCTTATAGTAGGAACGGGGCGGATACACAATACATGTAATACAAATTATTTACTCATATACACCTTTAACAACCAAATAAATAAATCTTCAAAGTTAAAAGTCATAGAACCACTTGAGAAAATCAGCAGAGCAGATGCAAAAATTCGGAAAGTCACAAATTTCTCCCTGATTGACTGGCATTGTTGAACTCTTCTAGCTGTGTAACAAACAGGATTGCCATAGTTATAAGTGCACCAAATAGAACAATAGCCAGAGACCACGTGCTGGTGCTAGCATTTCTCTATACTAAACATCACCAAAATGAACAGCTATTTGACATACATCAGGTAATACCTTGAGCAGGAATGCCATTTTAAAATTCATACGTCCACTCGCTCACTCATCAACACAAATGAATGAATGGTGCATAAGATCATGTCACCTTATATGAAAAAAAGTGCATGAACAAGTGAAAAAAGTATTAAAAGAAAGTGAAAGTGTAGGAATGGGCATACCGAAAAGTGAGGAAACAAGGTAGGAATGGGTATGGTGTAAGAAAACTTCCTCTGTAGAATCTCAAAAGGGGGCGTGTCCAACAACCGGACCATGCCTACTTCGTTTTTCTGTATTCATGATAGTATACAAGTTATGGGTACATACAAAGGTCTGTCTATGATTATTCTACCTTTGTATAGACAGTAACGAATCTACGACGTCGATACACAGAAGCCTCTTAGGTTTTTTTTATCTGTATATTTTAATCCACGTATATAACTAATATACGAAATCCCGTTGCCTTCTCAGGCAAAGTGCAAAAGGAGGGACAAGTTTTAGAGAAAAACATACTAATTAAAGGTCTACACGAATATCTGATTCTTCTGATGTCGTATAAACAGACTTTATAATACGTGTATTGTGTCCAATAATTCGATTCACAGAAACCTCTAGTCATTGTATGATAAGCATAACCAAGTTTGATAAGTTTAATCCACCTGTTTTATTGTACACAGAATAGAAAAGAGTAGGCATGGCTTGGATGTTGGACACGCCTCCTTGTGAGGTTGTACAGAAGAAGTTTTATTACACCATGCCCATTCCTACAGTGTTTCCTTACTTTTTGGTGCACCCAATACTACACTTTCAATTTTTTTAAATATATATTTTTTCATTTGTTAAAAAGTATTCTATGATAAATGGATAACAGCGAGGGTACGCGACTGATGAATCAATACATTCTAATCATTATAAGGTTTTTTTATTACATTGCATATTCCGTAGTAGACCCATATATAAAACTAGCAACATTATTTAATTCTGATCTGTGCAGTTAGCTTGCTTTGAACAGAAGATACTGATAACTGGAACTTACCTGAGCTACAAGTGTGTTGAGGATAAGGAAACCCCACAAAAACAAGAATGTCCGAGAACTATAGATTCCTAACATAGGGTAGGATATAAAATGAAAGACAGTGGGTAACGTAAGTGTGAGTGGCAGTTCTCCAATCATCTTGGCTAGGTAGTAGGCTGATAATCTATACGCTCCTGAAGCCCTTTCCTTGTTAATGACCACCTGTTCCGGAGGAACTGGAAGAAAAAAACAGTTTTTATTGGTTTACAGACATGAAACCCAATAAGTCCTTATGAAAACCCTTTACAGTTTTTATACAGTTGTAATGGGTATAAAATGTTATTTATACTAAAAATAACTTTTAATTGAAAAGAATAATTCATGTTTACCGAAAGCGCGGGTAATGTTATGCCTATAGATAAGTTAATTAACTATCAACGAAACGGGATGAAAGTAAAATTATGACAATACAAGTTCTGTTACTTACAAGATATCAAAGCTCCAAATAATGCAAACAGCATCCAGTACGTCATACTGAAGAACATCTGCAACATATTTAACGTAAAATACTATATCTAGTTTCAATAAAATATTACTAAACAACAAAAATAGTCCTTTTTTGTTGTTTGGATTTCTATGCTCATTTCAACTGGTAAGTTTTATAAAACATTTCAATCTAGCCAGCAAAACATACTCTGTCCAACTACAGTTTAGGAAATTGGGAAAGCCAGTAGACAACCAATACGTTAAGCTAATAGGGGTGTAGTTTGAATGAGTAAAACTTCGGATCAAAGATTTTTTTATATATTAAGCTAGGAAAACGTTTTTTGAATCAAAAGTTGGAATATTGTACTTAAACATTTTAAGTTATCTTAACATTTTCCATCTTCTTTCAATTTGTTTACAGTTTATCTTTACACGTTAGTTTACACAGCGGTTATTGAAGTCTTATAGTTAATCGTGTAGGTGAATATGTGACTTCCCGCAATCGATAAAAACACAAAATACGAAACTTAACATTAAGAATATGAACCTTAGACGTCAAGTTTAACTTTTTTGTGACAACAAATATACAGTCTTGGCCAAAATGTTTGCATATACTGTAACAAATAAGATCATTATTATTAAGATGGAATACAAATACGCTTAGTGCTGTCAAACTGAGAAATGCATGTTATATTAAACAACTACATATGTAATTTGTATGATGAGACAGGTTCTATGGACATCATAAACGATTTATTAGAACAGCAAACAATTTCATCAGACACCTGTATTCAGCATTCTGCCTATCACAACAATACCTTACCAAAATATATATAATGACAAAGTACAACATAAAAGTATTATAAACACCGTCTGTAACCCTATATCACTGCATATTAAACATTCAGTACTTGTTTGGTCCTCCTTGTACTCTAATAACCATCTCAAGGCGACGTGGCATGCTGTCGATGAGACTATTGATGTAATTCACCGTGACTTCATCCCAATTTGTTACTAGAAGACGCTGCAACTCAGCTACAGTAGTTGGTTTAGGGTCGTGCTTGGCAATTTTCCGGCTCAGTCTTGCCCAACAGTTTTCAATTGGATAACAATTTGGAGATTTTGCTGACCATGGTAATCTTATAACGTCCTCCTGGTCGAGATATCCTGTACAATACGTGCACTCTTGGCAGTGGCATTGCCATCCTGGAACACAAAGTTATTACTAAACCTTGCCTTAGCATATAGCAGAAATATCGTCTCCATGTGATGCCTGAAGGAGGCGCCATTGACGTTACCCTGGGGGATATGAAGAGCAGTTTTGCCACCATAATTAATAGCTGCTCAAACATGTACTGCCCCACCTCCTGTGGGAAAGACAGTCTTCCCTCATCTGCTCTCCACGCAAGCATTGAACACGTATCCTACAGCCAACTTTAACAAGCCGGAAATACGACTCATTTGAAAAGATGACATGTCGCCAGTGTCCCAACTCTAAGTTGGCATGTTGTCTTGTCAAAGTAACATGGTGATGGCGGTGAATACTGGTTAATATCGGTTTGCAGACAGTCCTTTTTGCAAAATGACCTTACTTGACCAGTCTTCGATTCCTTGTTCTCCTGGATACCCTGAAGTGAATGTGTTAATGCTGTTTCTATCGTAAGGTGTTGCAAAATTTCTGTCGACTTTGACGTGTTAACCTAATCAAAACACAGTCATCTCGGGTGGTAGTTTTTCGGCATCTACTAGTAGACCTTCCTGGAACAACATTTCCTGTAGTCCAATGACGTTTCAGGGTTCTGGATAAAGTACACTTGGGACATCCTACTGTTCTGGCTGTCCGCTTGCTTGAAACCATTTCTGGACAGTCGAACAATTTGACAACCTATAATTCCTGGCACGTGACGAGGCATGACTCTACACTAAGTATAGAGAAATTGTCTGAACAAAGCGTTGATCTGTTTCGAAAAAGATTACATCAAAAGTACACCTTTTTATACAAAACAGGTGTGTATGTGTGTTTTGACGAACAAATGCTTAAAACAACTTATATAGTCCAGCATAACAACTTGTACATGTCTGTCTTCTCTGTTACGACTCGAGCATGTACTCAATAACTACTCCATGTACGTAGACAGTAACATCAATATAAAATAGTATGCAAACATTTTGGCCATACTTTGTACTTAAAAACGACTAAACATGATTTCATCAAATTAAATTTCCTTATATATCTGTGTTTTGTTGAAGATATTATGAGTATACAAGTTATTATTCAGTAACAGTTTAACCCACAAACACTAACCCAGCCACGAATGTCCGAGAGCGTTGGCTCTGTCCTCTGGATCTGGAACCAGATAAGACCACAGATCAGACCTAGTCCTAAGGTCTGTACCCAGTTCAGTTTAGATAACATGCGACTTTTGGCTTCGAGAAAGTTACGTTGTGTAAGAACTTTAAGTTGGGTCCAAAACGATGTTGGCCATTTTACTTCTTCTTCATCTTCTAGATCATCCTGACTGCTGTATGTTGAGCTAACAACTTCAGACCATGATGATTTCCCTGAATCATAATCTTCTAGATCTGCATGGAAAATCATTTCAACAGGAGTGTTAACAGTTTGTTAACACATTCAGGTAAAAATACATATATATATGTGTGTGTGTGATTTTAGGAACATACACGTTTCATGTATAATTATTGAAAATAATGTTCATATTTATTGTCGTCTGTAAAACTTACATCAAAAACCTAAAACAAGAAACTCTACGTGGAAGAATTATCTCATAACTTTTAGCACTAAGTCAAAAACCATTATTTTCACTCTTCCTTCTTTACTTAAAATAAAGCAAACGTTAAAACTGAAAAAAAAATGTCTCATTTCGTGTTAAAAATATAGTGTGAGAGGAAAATATTAAAATTTTATCTTTAAACTATAGTTTCAGATAAAACTAACCTATTTTGTGGTAAAAGGTTCGCAGCTTCTTGTGCTGATCTATCAAAATTCTTAATTCCACAGGTCTAACGTCGGCGTACTTAGATAAAGGTGAGATGTTCCATAAGGGCTGTTCTGAGATACGGCGTAGAGATGGATCGATGTTCTCTGGTTCAGGATTCTCTAATTCACTAAAATAAAATCGAAAACATCCAACTAGTAAATATTACCATTCTTAACTTTACTAGTTAAAATCATAATGTATAGACAGAAATGAATAAAAGACAACACTGGTTTCTTTGACCAACAATACATCAAGTAATGCAGTATCTCTGTAATACACAAAAAGAAACATTACCATTTTTCATTAATTTACTAGATTACCGTATTCTCTCCTTTAAGCGCCCTCTGCATGACTTCAAAAATAAAAAAAAACAAGCATTCTCTTTAAAATCGCTCGTTGTCATGATTTTGAAGGTAATAAATCTGACTTAGCTGTATTTTCTATATTTTATTGTGCAATAAATATTATTATGAAGCCAATATTTAGAGCTATATCCGGTGAATTTTGCAACGATACTACACAACTGCCTGTTCCTATTACCATTAAACCATTCCCAATTCAACATGCAAGTCTGCACTTGTTCAGCATGACGTCACTTAATCAAGCGTGTAAACTAAAGGCAAAATGGAAGAAAGAATACGGTAAACCAATCACAGGGGCACAAACTATCATTTTCCACTGATATGTTAGTTTGAACCAACAGCAGAAGCAAATATTTATGTTTTGTAATGCACTAGGATGAAGCAACGAAACACATATACTCGAAACGATAAAACAAAAGAACTAAAACAAATGAACAATATCCTATTGGTATGCAATAGAGATAATCTTTTGTTTCGGTATAACGATGCTAATTTAAATATCAAGCATAGATTATTCTTACCAGTGCTGAAACGTATTCCAGATTTTCTTATTGTAGTTTGAATACTCAAATGCTTTTATATTTAAGCTGTGAAAATTAGCAGCTTCGTCCTCGTCTTCAGGAAGATGCAGTAATTCTGAAAACTCTTCGGGAAAGTCTAGGTTACTCCTGTTGAACAAACATGATGACAAGATACTTTAAAGTAATTTGTAACCTACTTATGAAAAATACGTGAAATAATTACGCAAATTCTTAATAAACATACCAAGAACTAAATCATTATTAGCTTCTGATCAGAGAAAGCTGCTAACATGGATAAACAGTCTCACTGGGAGTATGAGATGCCATAAAAATTATAATAATTAGACTGCAGTGATTCATGAGTTGGATACTCTCGCTGACATTGATATTTTCAGTTGTAATCCCAGGCTCATGGGGGTTCGAGAAGCGTAAGAGAATTGGATTAGTTCTAAATGCAGATACTAAGTTAACAATGCAAAATAATCCTCATAATGAAAATATATATAGCAGATAAATATATGAAATATAATAAATATTGTTGCGTCAGCGAGT